ACGCTGCCTGAAATCGACCCCTGACCCTTCATATGAATGATTAATAGCTTGCCTATTATGTTTGTGTCCACATTTCAAGCAGGACGTTCATTGTGAAGCCACATGGAGGACCAGATTTCTTCGTGCACCCCCACTTTAGTAACGAGAACCATTTCCTCCTCCCCGGAAAGTATTCCACAGCAGTCTACAATGATGTATGTACAGGTCAAAGGTCAACTTTTATTCCTGAGCTGAGAGCAACGTCAGCGGTGCAGTTGCAGGAAGTGAACCCTTTGATTGACCTGTCCTGTGGGCTTCTGCAGTCTTGATTAGTCTCACATTCCAGCGGGCTGCTACGTTTGGACAGCAGTCTGTCTGAAAATAACACCCATTCATAAACTGAGAACGATGAACAAACGAACTATTCAAATTGATATTCAGATTTAAAATGTTCTTGTTTCAAAGAAATGAGTGGATTTTGGCTCATCGTCCCCACAGATCAGTTTTGCCAAATTCAGTTGAGATGTAGATAGAATTCCTATTCTTCAGAGCCTATAAAAGCAAAAGTGCGGAATGGCCATTTTACATATCTGGAAACCCTTAAAGCAAGCACAGCGTTTTGTTTCCTCGAGTTAACCTTAATATTACCTATACAAAAAAAATCATGTGTTGTCCCTCTATCAATGTCATTGCTTCAATTTCTCTGTCTTTGCACACAAGGCTCTAATACGTTGGATTGCTGTGTATGCCGCGTCATCACAAGTCAGGGAAACTTTTTTGTCCACTGCCGCAGATCTGAGGTGTGCAAGAGGCATCAGAATGGGCCTTTCCGCTCTCTCGTTTAGCAGATAACTTATCTGTGTGATGTAAAGTGAGTTCGGTGTTATTCCACGACGGTATACTTTATCCATGCTGCTAGACTTGGCTAAGGATTCGCTTTTGTCTTTTTTCTTCAAAATCCAGCAATAATTTTGACACCTGCTTTTAAACTGTGCCCCCACCCCACCCCACCCCACACACACACACAGACACCATGTTGATTTGAACCAAGTCTGGTAATTCCCATCTCGTTTCTTAAAGTTTATGGTATTAATGGCTCACATCTTAATAGAACTTAAGCTTAACGAACAAGAGAGGAGATATATGTAACAAGTGACCTTGGGGTTGATCAGGGTTTAGGCTTCAATTGACTGTTGAATCAGTTCTGAATCAATCTATTATAGCATCTACAAAGAAGCCGGTACTGAAAGAGTAAGAATCACCAAGTTTCCTATGAAAAGATTTTCAAATTGTTTGCAAAGGGACAAAGAACACAAAGCTAAGATTTAGGTTAACGTTTATTGCCATATTGGCTGGGTTCCTTACTATCAGGTTGAAAATTAACCCGGGGCCACAAACCACACTTTCTATATGTCTATCATATGGCATACTTAAAGGTTTTTGAGTGAAGGCAGCAGGACGACTTCTTGGATGTTGAAGCTGTTTCACATCTCACCAGAAAGGCTTCCTCAAACACAGAGGAGTGAAAGAATTCTTTTGAATGAGAGGTGACTTCACAAGCAAATGTGCAATAAAGAAACTCCCCTCAACCTTGAAATCCTAAAGATAAAGCTAGTAGCTCTCTGGGAAAAAACTTGAATAACATTTACACTTTGAGTTGTCTCTAAAAATATCTTAACACACCGCTGCACACTGCATAGCTGTCCCACTTAGACCTTTACCTACTACTGCAGGAGACGAATCTCTGCTACACAAGTCATCGCCAGTTTAAATCAAATTGGTGGCATGTCGGTGGTCTTCACTGGGAACGTGTTTGGAACTGATTTTTCCTGAGTATCTGTGTGTAAATATGGTTTGACCTTGCTCCATTCAGCACAGGAGGCCAACTCAGATTGTGTTTGCCCGTCTCATTATCGTTATTTTTTTATCACGTTGTCCTTGAAGGTAGCAACCCCCCTTGGGAAAGTATGAAGAATTCGGTTACTTCGTCGTCGTTCCCAGTCATAGTTTAGCTGCAAATGTATTTGGTCTTCATTCATTTGACAAATAGAATCCAAGGCTGAACAGATCATAAAAAATAAGATGCAACTTTTCAGCTGTTGCAGTTTCATTTTCGCAAGTTCGTCCCAGACGGGGGCAACTCATCCAGACATTGATCTGCTCTTAATCATATGGAGCTGGTGTTTCAGTCTCAACTGATATATGACCATTTCATTAGGGTGGTGCTTTTTGCAACGCTGCACAGACCTCCTGCACACAGCACATTCTTCTTTTTGTATTTTCTCAGATGCGTTCTTTCCGTTCTGCATCTGCTGTCTGGCATACAACAACTTGGGCGCAGTTAAATGAGCTGTCGGTATGGATTGTTAGCATGGACATGTTATCGTCACACATAAGGGTTGTCATGTTTGCTTGGACTTCAATTATGTGAGCATAAATGGTAAACCATAGATATAGCTGTATGTGAGTCTTTTTTTTTGTCTCCATTGAGCAGAAGCAAGAGCCATTTGCAAAGTCATACAGTGCAAACATCACTCTGCGCACACGAGGAGTGTTTTTTCAGTGTGTGTGTGTCCATGTAAGTGCAGGTTAACAGTGTGCAGTCATGATAAGCAGCTGATAGTACCTACAATAGGGCGACCGAGAGCCCAGCGGAGGATTTCTGAGAAGATTAGACGATAAAAACAACAAAGTTATTGTGAAAAGTTTTATTTGAGCTTTGCTTGTTTAGTGAAGTGAAAGTCAGGACAAGTTAGTGTCTGATTTTAATTTTAAGATGATGTCATAAACGTGCGTTTGTACCAGCTGCCATGCTGCTATCATTTTTTAAATGAAAAAAACAAATGAACCGACTAAGTTTTAAGGCCTTGTTGTGACAGCCGTACATACAGGAGTATCAGATATGTTTTTATTTTTTTACTATGTTAAACCATATATTGCCATCCATTTTTCGCAACAGGAGGAAATGAACATCCTCATTGGTTTTACCTCTGTGATGTATCACAGGATTTGGACCAATTCAGTTGTTTGCATCTACTTTCATTGGAGTGATTATTCTTGTTGTGTTGGTTATTGGATGACCAAACCCCAACACTACAGGAAGTTTAAAACGTCCTACAGGAAGCATCATATGCATAAGCAAACGTAACTGCACTTCTTCAACTTCTCTTTTCCACCTTTTAAGCTGATGTTAATGTTTTTGTCACAGCTACAATAGGTGTGCTCTCAACAGCCACTTTATTGGGTAAATCTTCGCTAGTAGCAGCTTGGACACTTTTTTGCTTTCAGAACTGCCTTCTTTAGTGGCATATATTCAACAAGGTGTTGGAGACAGAGATTTGGGTCAGTACACTTGTTGTTAAACAGGGCCTGCAGATCCATGAAGCCAATCTCTGGTTCCACCTCATCCCAGAAGTGCCCAGTTGGCTGTGGAGACCTTTGAGTAGACTGAACACATGCTTGTGATATGGCACGTTATCCTGCTGGAAGTAGCCATGTGGTCATAAAGGGATGAACATAGTCAGAATCACTACACAGACAAGCTGTGCTCGGTTGGTAATAAGAAGCCGAAAGTGTGCCAGGAAAATGCCAGTGGATCAGCAGTTTCTAAAATACGCAGACCAGGCCATCTGGCAGGAACAGCTAGGGCATGTTCACAGTTAGCTGCATCCCTTTTCTTCTACATTCTGCACTAAGTTGATGCCATGTGGTTGAGTAATAAGCTATTTCTTGTAATTTAACAATCAATGAAACTAAACTGCATGAAGTAACCAGTCAGATGCCTGCAGAAATAAGCGCCTTGAATATCAGCTTTTGTGACAGCGGGTTTGAATGAAACAGCAAGAAAAAAAGCATAACTTCAGCTTCCCCTATAAAGCGGTATCTTCTGCTTATTCCCACTTTCCAACCTTTTCTCTGTGTTTTTAACAGCGTGTGAATTAGTTCTGAGCCGTGGTTATGTGTGATCAGTCCTGACTTGTGTTTTTTCAGACAGTGATTCATCAAGAATTAGACTGCTTCCGGATGTTTACAATAGTGTGTTTACCTGTACTGTCTGTGCTGAAGTGGTATGTGACGTGAAGACGAACCGGTTTTTCTCTAAAAACACGGGAGGAAAAAAACGCTTGTTTCCACGGTTGTGTGTCTATTTTTACCGTAGTATTTTTGGATTATTTGGCATTTTGTTGTCTCCCCAGCCCCTCTCGTTGTCGTTATTTTTATTGTAATGTGGAAGAAGTTCTTCTGTGGGATTGAATGCAAAGTGCTCCTTAACTGCTCGGTGACGCTACGCTCACTCGCGTCCACCCACATCTCTAAATAACTTCAAATCCAGAGACAGAGTAGGAGGAGAGAGACTGTTCGGACATGTCGAAATTATGTGTCCTGTCTGATCTGATTTCAAGTGCACTCGCATTCATCACTGGAATTAAAATGCACCCCCAGTCTTTTTAGATCAGTGATCCCAAAGCAAGTTCTGTCACAACCAAAACTCCCCAATGCGTGATCACATTTAGCAGCAGCATAGCAGCCTGTAGTGGATCCCTTGGTGTGCAGAGCTCAAAGTTTTGCACCAGGACATTATCAAAAGGCTCAAACGTGTCATTGATCATCAGAGCAGATCTGGAGCCGAAGCGTTTGTGTTGACAGATCATTGATTCAGTGTTGCTGCATGAAGGCACGCAGGAAGTTTCCTTTGAATGATTCAGCCCACGAGTTTCTTTGCTGCTTTTTTTAACACTGTATGTCTTTTTCCGGAAACTGAAAGCTACAGGCTTCAGCTTCTCGGCCACAGATTGCTTCTGTCTTAGCTTTTGAATCTCTCACCACAGTGCACACAATAAAACAAACGCACAACATTTCTTATTGTCAAGGTCCCTCGATTCAAGGGGGTTCGTTAGTATGCTAGAGGGGTCATAGAAGGGCTGATCTATGTATAGGAATATAAATTAACTTTAACATATTATAGATTTTAGATAGATAATTGATCCTGTTAATGTGAGTTTACTGTTTTCTCTTTCTAGAGAGTCCAGTGAGGAGTGCAATGGGATCAGCGGTGCTCTGTCAGTGGAGTCTGTGCCGGGGCCAAGACTGAACTGGTGTCCTGCCAATACCACTACCCCTGCCCCTGCCCCTGCTCCAGCTCCAGCTCCAGCTCCCACTTTGGGGCCTGAGCCCACGGCCCGCCCTCTCAGGATGGGGGACGGCCTGGACACAGCACAGATGTCAGGCAGCAGTAGCCAGGGGCAGACCCAGCAAATGGGCAACCCCTTTCCTCCGGAGTGCATCAACCCCGGCAGGCCAAAGCGCCAGACCAACCAGCTGCAGTACCTACTCAAGGTGGTGGTGAAGTCCCTGTGGAAGCACCAGTTCGCCTGGCCGTTCCATGCTCCCGTGGACGCGATTAAACTCAACCTGCCTGTGAGTACAAGCCTCCCGAATGCCGCATGCTCCACTCATACGTTTCCTACAACCCACAACCAGGTTTATTGTATCTACGCAACCCTAAAGCATAGATTTATGGTCCTCATGTGTTTTTGTCAGGATTTACTTTTATGAGGCGAGCACTTGGAATGAATAATTTTTTGTTACATTATTTAAAGTGTTTAAAGTGACCACAGAACATATGTCTGGTTTGAGAAGGATTATTTTAGTACATTAAAAAGACTTCTCTTTACATTATGAAATGCTTCAAACCATTCAAAACTATATGACCCAAGATTGAATAATACATCGAGTGTTCCTCATTGACATATTTGTGTACCCACTACAGGACTACTACACCATAATCAAAACCCCTATGGACATGGGAACAATCAAGAAAAGGCTGGAGAACAGTTATTACTTGAATGCCCAAGAATGTATCCAAGACTTCAACACAATGTTTACTAACTGCTACATCTACAACAAGGTAACCTATTTGTTAACTGGATCCGCTGTCAGCTGTGGACCTGCTTTCAGTTTTGCTAACAGTGCTTTGTCTCCCTCTGCAGCCTGGAGATGATATAGTCTTGATGGCCGAGGCTTTAGAGAAGGTTTTCCTCCAAAAGGTTACAGAAATGCCTCAGGAAGAAACTGAGATCGTTGTCATGACAGGAAAGGGACGTGGTCGGGGCCGGAGAGAAGGAGGTACGGGATTTGCCAACTTTTGCCATCAAGGTGATTTAATTAATCCAGTTTATGTGACACAGGATCATTAATCAAAGTGTTTTGCTCTGCCCTCAAAGGTCTAAACTTGAAACCAGGGGCCATCATTGACCCCATATCCACAACTCCTCAAACGCGCGGCCTGTCAACACTCCCGGCAGCCCCGCAGTCTCGGGCACCAGTACAGGGCCCGCCGTCACTACCTCCCCAGCCTCTGATGCAGGCCCTGCCTCCCCATGTGCACCCCACGTTACCCAGCCTTGCTCCACAGCTCGGGGCTCCATACGCCCTGGGTCAGTCAGACTGTGCTCCTCAAGTTCCCATCATGACTTCTGTGCCTCTCCCTGGTCAGACCCCTCTCCCTCCAGCTTCCATCCAGAGCACAGCCCCCCTGCTGCAGACCATGACCAAAGTGAGTGTCTTACACACGAGAAAGGCAGCGCTCTTTAAGCCACGCCATGTTGCATTAGAAGTGTCTGGTACTGGGCTCAGAGCGTCTCATATTGATTGGATTTTCTTCTCCCTTTCTTATTTTCTCTTGTTGTGTTCATAATAACTTCTCACCAGCCGAGAAAGAGCCAAAAAAGGAAAGCAGACACTACGACGCCCACAGCAAATGACCAGCTAAGCGAGTCTTCACCGGTGGAATCTAAGTCTGGGAAGACGCTACCCAGGCGGGAGAGCACCCGGCCCACGAAACTTCTAAAGAAGGAAGCTCCAGACTCTCAGCATCACATAGGCCTGGGGACAGGACTTGGTGGACCAAGTGGAGGTCTAAGCCCTAAACCACAGGATCAGATCGGTTACTGTGCCGGGCTGGTTCGGGACATGCTCTCCAAGAAGCACGCGGCTTACGCCTGGCCTTTCTACAAACCTGTTGACGTCCACGCACTGGGACTGCACGATTACCACGATATCATCAAGCATCCTATGGACCTCAGCACCATCAAGGTGTGTTAGCAGGGAGCGTTCGAATGTATCCACAACGATGTTCACGCTGCGCAGAAAATGACGGGTGTCTTTTGTGTGTTTTTAAGGCCAAGCTGGAGAACAGGCAGTACAGAGACCCCCAGGAGTTTGCTTCTGACGTTCGGTTAATGTTTTCAAACTGCTACAAATACAATCCACCAGACCATGAGGTGGTAGCAATGGCACGGAAACTACAGGTACCCACATGCTACATGTTTTGAAAGAGGGATTGGTAGTTCTTTGTTCTTTTTGTAAATGATCAAACTGAAAAAGATTATTTTGTATTTGAAATGATAATCTTCCATTAGATTGTATCATCCATAGGCACCAACTTTTTTCTCTTTTTCATTCTTTTGAATACCATAACACAGCTCATTTTTCCATTATACTGCCTCATCCTCATGTGTGAAATTTGCTCTGAGTAGTTTTGTATTTGTTGTTATTTTTGGAAATGTTGGTGTATCAATTACTCTCAATTTTTATTTTTGTATTGATTGTGTTGACAAAATACTTGTTCCGTTCCATTTGTTAGGATGTTTTTGAGATGCGCTTTGCTAAGATGCCCGATGAACCTGAGAGCAAGCCCATGGTCTCCGCCCCCGCCCCCACACTCCACCATCCTGCCCCCGTCAAGCCTCAGCCCCCCCTGGCTCACATGGCCTCATCTTCTGACAGTTCCAGTGACTCGTCCTCCGAGTCGGAGTCTTCCACAGATGACTCCGAAGAGGAGAGAGCCCAGAGGCTGGCAGAGCTCAAGGAGCAGGTCAGTGAACAGTGGAGATTCAGTGTGAGGATACGGTTTTTGTCCAGTTCCTGAAAAAACCTTTGCTGAGAGCCGGTCTAATCTCTCCAAACAGCTCAAGGCGGTCCATGAGCAGCTGGCTGCCCTGTCCCAACCGCAGACCAGCAAACCAAAGAGAAAAGAGAAGGAAAAGAAAGAAAAGAAAAAAGACAAACATAAGAAGAAAGGTGCTGTGCCCGGCCTTCTAGACGAGATCCAGGACGCTGTGCCCGTTTCCAAGAAAACCAAGACCATCACCAATAACAACAAAGAGATTAACAAGAAGAAACCAAGGTGGGTTTAAACATTTAGCGGGCAGTACAGCTCAACGTTGTCCAAATTACAGATGCATTAAGGAGAAAAAGAGAAATACTGCAGACATGTAGGGCATTTTAGTCGTACTAGAGAGGAAATTTGCTTTCTTTGTATAGTTTTTTTTAGATTATCTAAAGAGATTATCTAACTCATTTAGTTGTTTTTAACTGTGACAGATTAATTTTCTGAAAAACCATGTCCACTTAGTGTTGAATATTAGTAAATACATTTTCTCCCTTCTTGTTTTCCAGTAAAAAAGACGGGATTAAAAGTAATCATCCTTCAAGCCTGCAGCAGCTTCCCAGCCTGGAGGACGATCTTGGAGCTCCCGGGTCATCCATTACAGGAGAAAAGTGCAAGCCTATGACCTATGAGGAGAAGAGGCAGCTGAGCCTGGACATTAACAAGCTTCCTGGTGATAAACTTGGCCGTGTGGTGCACATTATTCAGTCCAGGGAACCCTCTCTAAAGAACTCAAATCCTGACGAGATCGAGATCGACTTTGAGACGCTAAAGCCCTCCACTCTACGAGAGCTGGAGAGATACGTGTCTTCCTGCCTCCGTAAGAAGAAAAAGCTTCCAGGTAAGACTCTGGTAAAGGTGGGGTGGAGGGGGGGCATTGTGTTAGTGAATGAAATGTCAAATAATTTAATGTTGTCCACCTTCATTTTCTTGATTGTGTAGTTGAAAAGAGTGTAGAGTCCATGACTAGTTCCAAAAAGGCCGGGTCTTCTTCAGAGAGCAGCGGCTCTAGTTCAGACAGTGAGGATGAAGGGACGGGTGAGTTCCAGAAACAGCTTCTTTTTCAGGTCACCATAATCCAAAAGAAATCCATTGTACCTCATCTTTTTTTTTTTTTTTTCAGGAATGATAAAACAGCAGAAAAAGAAGAGCCAGTCTGTGAGAGACGGAAAGAAGGCCCATCCTCACATTCAAATGGGCCCCGCCCAGCCCGGGCTCCAGTCCCAGGCTGGGGGCCCTCAGCCCGGCGCTCAGATGAAGCAGCATCAACCCTCCTCTGCCGGCTTCATGGTCCCCCCCCCCGTCGCCGCTCTGGAGTCCTCCCAGTTACTGGAGAACAGCTTTGAGCCGCTGCCGAACTTTGGCCAGCCTCTCATGCACATGTCTCACCACGCCATCAACTCCTCGTCGCCCCCACCTCCACATCTAAACGCGCAGTCTGCTGGCCCAGTTTCTCCTGAGACACATCCCTTCCTCAATCAGCATCCCGCCCTTACGTCCCCAGGTAGGTTATTCTGTGACGGGCCTCACTGTTTTTTTTTAATCAGTGTCACAGTGTCTTTTACTGGCACAGCTTCTGCTCTCACGGGGGGGAGGGAGCGTTTTATTCGTTTTTTCCCCACACTTGATTAAAACCTTTTTGTTTTTCAGTGTTATTGTTCCAATTTCTTTATTTTTATGTGTGAGAGTTCAACCGTTTCTTAGTTTTGAACTGATGTGTGGTTTTCCTCCAGCTCTACACAGCTCCATTCTTAGTTTTGAACTGATGTGTGGTTTTCCTCCAGCTCTACACAGTTCCATGCCTCAGCAGCCTTCCCGTCCCAGTCACAAGGCGGCACCTCTTCATCCCAAATCCCTTCAACAGCAGCAAGCACCCGCTCAGCCGCAGCCAGCCCTGCAGCCGCAGCAGCAGCAGCAGCAGCTCCAGCCGGCGCCCGCCGCCCCCCCGCAGCACCAGCTCCCCTCCCAGATCCTCCACCCCTCTCAGCCCCTGCCCCAGCGGCCCATGTCCCCGCCTACGCTCACCCCTCAAGGCCTGCTGTCTTCGCAGCCCCCCCAGCTGCTCCTGGAGGACGACGAGGAGCCGGTGTCCATCACGCCCATGAGCCAAAAGCAGCTGTACCTGCAGCAGCAGCAGTTCCAGCAGCCTCGGCAGACGCAGCAGGCGCTGCAGGCGCTGCAGGCGCAGCTGCGCCAGCAGCAGCAGCAGCTGCAGCAGGCGCAGGAGTCCCTCCTGCAGGCCGGCCAGGGCCAGCCCCCGCTCTCCGGTCAGCCGTCGCTGTCCGCCCCCCAGCTGCCCCTGCAGTCGCAGGCTCCGCCCGCCCCACCCCACCAGGCCCTGCCCCCACAGATAGCCCCCCACCCGGCCCGCCACATGCAGCAGCAGCAGCCGCAGCTGAACTACCAGCAGGGTCCCGGAGTCCCCGTTCAGTTCCAGGGCTCCCAACACAAGCTGCCCATGCCCTCCAACAAAGCACAGCAGATCATCCAGCAGCAGCAAGAGCAGCCCTCCCCTCGCCCGGCCAAAGCCGACCCCTACAACGCCGGTACGTGGCATCCGAACAGACCAGCTGCCGTTCACCCCAGAAACCAAACGCCTCCGCTACCGAAATGATGCCATGTGTTTGACTGCCTTAACTTGTCTCGACAGGTCACATGAGGGACAACCCATCGCCCCCTATGATACATTCCCCACAGCTGCCCCAGTACCCCCCCGTGTCTCACCAGTCTCCACCTCACAATATGCAGCCCAAAAAGGTAAGAGGCCCGGCCGGAGGTGAGCGGCATTGGGAAGGAGCCCAGTGTCTGACTCTGATTCTGCTCACCCATCAGCAGAGAGCCCCCGGAAGCCAAGGGGTCATAAAAGAGGAGAAGCTTCCTCCATCGCCAGTGATGAGAGGGGAACCGTTTAACCCCGCAATGAGACCGGACCACCACAAACATCCCGAAAACAAACCCGGCCAGCCAGGCCACAGCCAACAGAGTGAGGACTCCTTCTCCCCGGGACTGCCCTATCGCCTTTACTCCTCAGGAGGTTTCTGACTTTGCTCCTGTGCTTTCCTTTGATTCTCTAAGCAGATGTGAAGTCCATGGACAGCTCTCGACCCGTCATCCGCTCGTCCGAGCCCAGCGGGCCCCCCCCCTCCCTGCTGGACAAAGATAAGTTCAAACAGGAACCCAAGACCCCCATTGCTCCGAAAAAGGTACAGGTGGGTGCAAGAAACAGCTTTTAGAGTGAGATTTCCCGCTCTATCTGCGACGATTTCAAAGGGGTTCCATCTTTGAGTCCTCGGTTGTAACCTGAGCGTGTGTCCTCAGGACAAGCTGAAGAGCATGGGCCCCTGGGCCAGCCTGGCCCAAAAGTCCACATCTACGCCCTCATCCGCGGTCAAGTCCTCAAGTGACAGCTTTGCGCTGTTTTGCCGTGTTGCTCGAGAGAAAGAGGAGAGGGAGAAGGCCCTGAAGGCGGAGAAAGACAGGCTGCGAAGGGAGCAGGACAAGCGGTAAGATTCTAAAACCAGAGCTGGAAAACCTCACCAGAGCCATTAAACACTCTGAGTGGTTTTTAAGGAGCCAACTTTCACCTTTATTTTGATGTAGTGTACTTACATTTAGAAGAATCTAGTCTTTCTGTCTTTATTTGGTTGAAACAATTTACATACCTTGTTATATTTCTCTTTTTGAAAACACTTATTAATAACGCTGGAGAAATGCAGGAGGACACCAGGCCCCCTTTTTTCACCTCATTATGTGCACGAACTGGCTGTAAGTAGTTTGTCCGACTGCTTTTCAGAGGTCGGGATGAGGAAGAGGTGATGGAGCCCAGCAGAAGGGTGCACGAGGAGCCCCGCAGGCGTCTGGAGCCCCAGCATGTCCCGGCCCCCCCACAGACGCAGCCCCCCCCGCCGCCGGCGCAGCAGGAGCCCCCGCCGCCCGCCGTCCAGCAGCCCCCCCAGCCCCCCACCCCACCCCAGCCCACCACACAAAACCAGCTGGACCAGCAGAGGGAGCTGGCCCGGCAGAGAGAGCGGGAGAGGAGGTGGCGGGAAGCGGTGAGACCATCGTCCTCACTCTCTGTGTTTTGTTCAGGGGCTGTAAAAGACAAAAGCCGAAGTGTGTCGGAAACTGTGGTTCAGAGACATCCAGATTTCAACTAAATTCACATTTGTTTGATATATCTCTTCATGTATCTTTTTTTAATGCCTTTGTTCTCTTTTTTTAACATGTCATTTGTTCTCTTTCTCCAGATGGCAGCAACCATCGACATGAATTTCCAAAGTGACTTAATGGCTATCTTTGAGGAGACCTGTTTCGACGAGAGGAGCAACTAAAATGTAACCGCAGCAAAAAAAAAAACGAAAGGAGAAAAAAAAAACGAAAAAAGAAAGGAAAAAAAAAAAAGCCCGGCTGATCTAAAACGTCCCCCTCCGATGAGATGAGTGTCAGCGGGGGCCACCGGCCGCCCTGCTGGACACGCTGACCTCACGGACCGGACGCGCTCAGCCTGTGGGGACAGCTCCGGAGTTTTGGATGGCCTTTCCTGGGAATTGAGCCTTGATTGCCCGACAGGTCAAAAGGGGAGAAAGGCCCCTGCTGCCTTTTTCTGGCTTTGCTTCTCACACTGTGCGCGGACACAAAGACATCCCAGCGATGACGGACACGCTCTGATGTACTGACAGGCTGCGTTTTCAAACTGCCAGATGTCTGAGATGGAGAAGAAAACTGTCTTTTACGTTCTGGTTTGTTAGTTTTAAGTGAACACATTTTTTTTGTTTTTTTTTTCCTTTGGGAAGGAACTTCCATACTGTATATCATGTATATTTCTCAGCTGAGAAGGTACAGTTTGCCTTACACCTCTTTCCTAAACAGACAAGTATGTTCTATGGCCTGCACACGTGTACAAACCAATAACATTTCCAGACAGGACCAGAAGCCGTGCAGACCTTTTTTTCATCATCTAGTATCTACTGTAAAGAAGTATTTTCTTATACTACAATAACTGTTTATTTTGGATCTTTGGTCTTTCCACGTTAACTCTTTGAATCTTCACAGTAACACACTCCGCCTCTGACACCTATGCCAAACAGCTAGATATCTTTTATGCTAAATGACTTGCTCTAAAACATCGTAGATAGGTCGGGGAGTGGGGGGGCACTGAATATATGCATTACCGAGTGAGTATTTATCAAAGACGAAATCACTTTTCATATTGCCTTTTCTTTGTCATTTAAAACTACACCAGGAATCTTAGCATAAAAAAGGGCCAGCTGTTTCTTAGCTTTAGTTCAATTTCACTACAAGTGTTGTATGGTTATTAGGATGACACTTAAAAGACACAACGTTGAAAGGCTCATATCAGTGGCTTGTTGGCAGCACTCACACTACCGGGTCAGTTAGGCCTCCGGCCGCTGCCTCCGAGGGCTCCAGGCCGCACAGACGCCTGTCCGAAGCCCACACTGGAACCAGGTCAGGAGCTGTGGCTGTCGTCCGGTTCACAGGGGGGCACACTTCTGACAGTACAATATAAAAAGATGAGCAATTACAAAAGTCTAAATGGAAAATTATGAAAAAAACAAGTTTTCATGGATATCCTTGTTCCAGTTTGATGATAGTGGATGTGAGTTCTAATTCTCTTCTTCGAGACCTTGTTACAGCGGAGGTGGACAGAAAGCATCTCGTCCTCTCCACTCGTCCCTTGTATTGTTTTGTTTTTTTTTCTCCAGTGCCTGTATTGTATTGCAGTTCTTGTCGGCTTATATTACACTTTGAGGGACTTTAGAAGGGGGCATGTCAGGAGCGGGGCGGTGTAATATTTGCAAAAGAGGGGTGGGTGGGTTTGAAGACTTCGTGTTTTTAAAAAAAAAAATAAAAAAAGGAAAATACAGCATTTTATATTTTACCCGTTGTCAATATTTGGGTTTTAAATTTAGTTTTAGCTGAACTTAAATGAGTGTACAGACCTGACCACTCATTTCTCATTTTGTTCCGTCAGCTGATTTTAGGTAGGTATGTTCTGGCATGGCCTCATTAGCGTCTGAGTCTGGTCTGTGAGTATGACTGTAAATTTGAGCGGCTGTGCAACTACAAGTTGGTTTTTGTTTCTTTTTTTCAGTGTGTGGTGCAAAGAGGCATGTTCCCCAATGTAGATAATCGTTCTGTTGATGAGGAGACTAAAAATATGAGCAGTAATTCAGGAGAACTCGTTTAGTGCTTGATTTAGCTTTGAAGTCCACCGTGTATGCATATAATTTTATTATTTGGCTTTCAAAGAGTTAAAATACAATTTTAAAAAAGTTCTTCATTCCTTTTAGCCTTTCTTTCTTCTTACAATAGTTGTTGAATTAATGTGCCATGAGTTCTACGGAGAATGTGCTGACCTGCAGCTCAGCCCAGAGTTTGCTTTATTCAGGTATTTTATCTTTGTGTTACACTTGTTCTGTTTTGGGGAGGTTTTGTTTAAACACTTTCCTTCTTTTTTTTTGTATGTGAGTGGTCTCTCAAGGTCTCTGAATACGTCTGTTATGATCATTGAATAAACTCATCTCTTTTATAGAAAATAAAAAAGTAAATCAATCTCTTGACTGTCTTATCTTTGAAAGTAAGAGTTAGCACCTAGCATCCTTTTTCACTTTACAAAGATATCCCTTTTTTTTTTTTTAAATAAAAAAGAAATATATTCTTAGTAAGAAATACTTCCCGGCTTTCGACTAACTTAACGTTAAGTTGAAAGTGCTAACCGGAAATAGATTTGTAGCATTATGTGGAAATTGATGCTGGAAAATGGCGCCCTGTGGACTTTTACCGATTTTTAGCATGAAAAGAGTTTAAATGGCATTCAGATTTCTTCTTTATTTTGTGTACTAAATCAAGACAAACTTGCTGACGACCAGAATTAATTTAACAAAGCTAATTATACCCAGAAAGAAAGCATCACCATAGGTTACCATTTCCCGGGAATAATTTATATTACTGCTTTTTTACCGACCTGATTTGAATCTTCAAAATATCATAAAATATACCAATCATGTAAATTCAAGCCTGAAACATACGAGCAATTCCTGTTTTTAAAAAATTTATTTAAAAAGTATGTTAAAGTCCTTAAAATAATCCTTTGGCTGAAGGGCTATCTTTTAAAATCAATATGATCTCCTGAAATTAGGAAAAAACTTAATGGCAACTATCAAAATTAATAATCCGAATTAACAACTCAAACCCCACCGAATGGGATTTATTCTGCTCTTGTATCTAAATTGCAATGCAAACAGTCATTATCTAATCATCGTTGTGGGGTTTTTAAAATGCTTCCCTGTGCGTGCGTTTATGAGGGCAAAGTCTAGTTTTTCTTTTACTTCTCTATTTTACCTGTCAGAAAACAATTCACCACATTGACCACATGAGGGCGCTGTTTAACAGAACTTCACGGATGTTTTGTTTCCTTTTACTTTAATTTCGTTTTCTCAATCACGTTCTTTACTGTTCTTTACTGTCTTGTCGTTCAAATGTGATGCTTTTAAACCCTCTTTCAGACTCTTAAAAAGTCAAGAAAGCGCCACCTAAAGTTAGTGATGCAGCTCCCTGCTCTCTAAGTTTTTATTTATTACTACGAATACATTTCTCAGTTAATTTCTACTTAAAGTGAATTTATGTTATCTCTCACAGGCTGGGTCTAATAATAATTATCTTCTTTGTTGTTGTTGTTGTTGTTATTGTTGTTGTTGCTGCTGTTCTTATAGTTTTCCAAATGTCCAACTGAAGCTCAAAGGCTTTGGAAACAGATTTTACCTTCTGGGGTTGAAGGTGTTTGTTTTGTACGACTTTCCCGGCAGAACGTGGAGGCAACACTTCCACCTGTCGCCGGGCTGCAGCTGATACGAGTGAGACTGATTCATTATGGCGCCGACTCCTGACCGCGTCGCCACTCCGGCTTCGGAAAGTCAAGCTTTCTGTTTCCACTGAGGGCTGCTCGGCTGCTTTTTTTTTTAAGGAGATGCCTGACAGCAGGAGAGTCTGAAATGAATGGTAAGTTTGATTTCAACTCTTGTCCAACTTTTTTTTTTTAAAGGAAAGGAAATTAAATGACGATTCATTGATATGGACTGATCCAAGGTGATGTGTGTGATGTTGCGTAACTTAATAGAAACTGAGGGGTTTCGTGTTGGAGAGGACTGAAACGAGCCACCGTCTTCCTTTTGCTGAAATGAGACAAGTCACACTACCAATTCTTTTGTTATTAAACCTGGGGAAAAACTCGGAAAAGCCCTTTTATAGAGTTGTTTCAACATCAGATCCACATGTTTGGCTGGGATAACTGCAGCTGTGCTTTATACGAAATGACAGGTCATGGACACATTTTGGGAATCTATTGATCGAGGGGGGTTACAGCTGTTTGTAGAGTAGATGTACAGCCCTGCAACCAGAACTGAAACACCAATGGCATATTTACAGCGAATCCAAACTCAGAGCAAACTGATTGCTTAATGGAGACTCCCTCAGAGCCCTGGAGCCCATCCAAAGTGTGCTGACTTAATCTGCCCGTGCCAATCTTTCCTCTGCCCAGAAGGGGCAGAATCTCTTATCAGAAAACATCCCCTATCCCCCAAACTAAAACAGTCGCTCTTCTCAAGCGGGAGACTGATTTAATCACATTTAAAAACGGAGCCAGAAACTGTTTGTTCCCTTTTTTTTGTTATTGTTATAGAAGGGGCTCAGACAGGGCGCAGGATTGTGTCATGGTGTTGTGCGCTTTGTGCTGTGTGTCTGCAGTCAGTGACAGAGGTGCTCTGAGTACCTGCAACTACAGCCACAATGTCACCTTCTTCTACAACCTGGTGGGGAAGAAGATCAGTGAGCGGTGGAGCACTCGGGACTCGGTGGTGATCGGCGTGGGCTTGACGGTGTGCGTCATCGTGGTCCTGGCCAACCTGATGGTGATGCTGGCCATCCTCAAGAACCGCCGCTTCCACTTCCCCATCTACTACCTCCTGGCCAACATGGCTGCCGCCGATCTGTTTGCCGGCGTCGCCTACGCCAACCTGATGCTGAACACGGGCCCCTGGACCCGGACGCTCACCAAGGAGCAGTGGTACATCCGCGGGGCGCTGATCGACATCAGCCTGACTGCCTCCATAGCGAACCTCCTGGCCGTGGCGGTGGAGCGCCACCAGACCATCATCAGCATGCAGCTGCACAGCAACATGACCAAGCGGCGCGTGGCGCTGCTCATCGTCTGCATCTGGGCGGCGGGCATCTTCATGGGTCTGGTTCCCTCCACTTTCTGGAACTGCGAGTGCGACCTGGACGACTGCTCCACCGTGGCTCCCCTGTACAGCCGCCGCTTCCTCATTTTCTGGGCAGTCTTCAACCTCGTCACCTTTTTCATCATGGTGGCCATATACACGCGCATCTTCATCTATGTGAAGTGCCAGAGCCAGTACACGTCCGCGCACACCACAGAAAACCGGCACAATCAGATGATCATCAACCTGATGAAAACCATCTCCATGGTTCTGGGTGAGAAACCTTTTTAATGACGCGCTTGTGTGTTTCGTCTGCTTTTGCGGCCCTCCTGGCGTGCTGTGTGCACGGAGCGTGGCCATGTTTGTGTCGATTGCAACACAACTTCCTGTTAGTCTCAAACCAGTTTTGCAGCTTTCAAATGAGTGCTTTCCAGTTAAACACCGGATTCATGCTGGCATGTCTCTGAGGCTTTCTGAGCCCACAGGTCCTGTCGTCGAGTACCTGCTAGTTCAGGTGACTCACAGGAGCTAAATGTCCTGAGCAGCTATGAAAGCTGTCGGTGAATAACTGCTGTGCAGCGTGACAGAAGATGACTTTGCCCTGAGGCCGAACACCACATTTATGGCTGTTGAATTGGTCGCGTGTCTGCAGGTGCTTTTGTAATCTGCTGGACGCCCGGCCTAATGGTTCTCCTAATGGACGGACTGCTGGGGAAGGCCAGCAAAGCCAACAACTACGAGAAGTTCTGTTTGGTGATCGCAGAGTGCAACTCCCTGGTCAACCCAATCATTTACTCTCTGCGGGACGAGGACATGCGGAGGACATTCAAGTGGATCCTGTGCTGTCTGTGTCGGGGGGACGAGGGCCAGCAGAGGCAGCTGTCGCCCGTCAAGGTGGACTCTCCGCAACTGGAGGTATGCCTGGGTTACAGGGCTGAGACAGATGGTTAAGCCTCCACATGAACCACACTCAAAGCACCTCAGACAAAGTTCCACTTTCTGATTCCAGTCACTCTCACTTCCACATGAACCGATTTCCTGTAAAACTAGCTCAGCGTTACCTGCCAGGTTGTGACACAGCTCACAATAAAAGATAAGCGCCATTTTATCAGGCCAGGAGGGGAAATCCTACTGCTTTAGAATGAGTTAGTAGTTGACTGTTCTTGTGACAAAGTATGATTGAGCAGAAATTTTTCTTCAATAAAATGTAGTTTTTTTTCTTCTTTAAAAACAGCAAACCCTTGCCTGTGAGAAGTCGGAAGGCCAAGCCTTGTGGAAGCCTTATGACAACAGCAGCAGAGATGACAACTAAACGGTGTCTGGAACCCCGGACGTTCTGTCATCTAAGCGGACTTTTTTTGTTGTTAAATTTGGACTTTTTGTTGGATGGGGGGGGGGGTACTGTGTTGGAGAAAGAAAAGTTCATTTCACAGGATGTTATCAGTTGTCTTCATGAAGCTAACAGAGTCACATGTTAACCATCAGATGGTGCAATTTCTCCTTTTATTACATTTGACTATCACAAGAGCATTTGTGACAAATTATAAAATGAAACACTGCTAATATCTGAAAATCAAATACTGAAGGGAAAAAAAAAATCACACTAAATCATTTTTATTAATTTTCTAATAAGAACACTACAATTTGTCATATTCTTCCTTTTTGTTTTACTCTTTCTAGAACAATTCTAAAGTTGAGGTATAAAAGGAGTTCATACAGACTCACAAGTCTGAAAACAGTGGGAATATATACAAGAAAAATGGAAAGACAGAGGTAGAGAGAGGGGTAAATACAAGGAAAAGAGGGGAGATACAAATATACTAATAATAAAAACAAAAATAGTTTACGGAGCCATTTGGTGCTGTGAAAGTCACCTGCAGATGTCTGAAAAATGTTTAAAGGTTTACATTTGATACATTTCAGAGTTTGTACTGCAGCAACATTACAAGGGGCCACAATAAGTGTATATTCACATCTGAGTATTTAAGCGTGGACGTTTTAGCTGTTATAGTTAGTGAATGTGGCAAATGGCTGAAACTTTGCGTTTAGTTGGCCCAAAAGAAAAAACAAGACTTCTTTAAATCAGACTTAAATGACGTCCAAAAGTCAGCAAAATTTGCATGAAAGAGCCGAAACGATAACTTTCACAGCACCAAATGTTACAACTGTAAACTCTACATTGCAACCTGGTTATGTAACAAAAGACCTAAATAATATTCAAAACTGATACAGAGTTATTGTTGATCCTGTGGAGGCCAAAGTAAAAGCTGGCAACTCAACCCAAACGTCAAAGTTTACAAAAGAAAAGAAAACGCGGAAACATTACACAAACTGTACAATGACATCCATTACAACAGGTAGAAAAAGGGGCGGGCATGATAATTTGGTGTGGCATCAACAATAAGGATACAGTCACATCAACCGTGAGGTGTAACAAAACAGGAAATGAAACGTGGGACATGTGACCAGATCTTGATTCAGGTTTTGTTCTGTAACGGATTTCAACAAAGTTTTAAATGACACTTAAATCTTAATAAGGCTTTACCCTACTATCAAAATGCTTTTGTTATTCACAGAACAGTTAATGTAAAAAATAGTTCCAAACAATGAAAATCCCCAAAATGTTGCAGTTTTTTTAAAGTTTTTTTTCTTTTCTTTACTTTTTACATGAGTTAATAGTTTCACTACACCCAGTGCTGCCTCTTTTTTTGGTAACAGAGGAGAGAGAAGCCCTTGCCCAATTGGCCATAGAATTAAAAGCAAAACTGTGGTTTTTAGCAGGAGGTATTAAAGGGTGGGGGTAAAGGGGGGAGCATTCCTTCTATGCTCATGATCAAATTACAGATGTGATGACAGTGTTCACTCCACCCACCCACTTATGACGCCCCATAACAAAACTCCTGAAAAACAAACCAACTCGAGGCCAGACGACACCACGAAGAGAGACACGGATACAAATACAACTCCTTCCTCTCCTCAGACTTAAAAGATGGCTCTTGCACCAACTTTAGAGAAAGACAGAGTAGCATTACATTTCAGAACTTTGTATTTTTGGTTTTGGTACAACAGTAGGTTGTAGTGTGTTGCCTTGTGTTCACGAGCTTTAATGTTTAAAGATGGGGAAGGAGTCTCGGTTGAAACCCACCTGGCGTGTCGCCGGCTGGTGGAAGCACCTCGTCGTAATGCTTAAAGTTCACGCGGGCACCAGCCGGGTTGACAAAGACATCCCAAGAACGCTGTACACACTCCCACACAGAGTCACACACATCATAGCAACTCTTTCGTTTTTGGTCTGGCGGTAAGAATTATACCCTTTTATTTTTTTATTTTTCCTTAATAAAAATGAATCTAAAAACTTGGAAGGTTAAATGAAAACAATATTACACCTAGAAGTCCTACATGCATGGAAGACAGTCACGTTTCTAAATTCATGTCACGTTTGTCCCATATAACACACTGATGCCCCACAATCACTCCACCCTTCTTTTGCCATCATTCAGATGCTTTATTGAACACATTTTTGGTGGTGGCTGGTGCATTCTTGGTGAAACAGCATAAGAAAAAAAGCCTACAATCAAATAAACTAGTGGACAGAAAGCAAGAAGTAAAGTCTACAAGCCATCTACCAACACCCTCTATTGGTTAGCAACAAAAAGGGCTATTAGTTACATCCACTCAACCAAAGTTATCCTCTATGCCCTTTTCTCCTCCTCTCACCAGCCATATTATCACTTGTCCTGCCTGGTTTAGAACAGTGATCCCCTCAGCTACCTTTTTTTTTTTTTAAAAAGGTAGAAGCCCATAACGAGGATGCTAACATTTGTGCTTGACACACCATTGATGTCAGCTCTTTGTGAAAACAGCTGAGAAGTTGTGTGGTGTGCAACGGGGGTTATTTGCATGCACCGTTGTGCATATTCTTAATTATTCACTTTGAAATCTCAACAGAATGAAGCATCGAGCTATAAGGACAAGGAGACGCGACGGCGTCTTGTAGAGTTGGCAGAGGGTGTTCTTAGAGGAACACTGGGGTAGCACTTTGGTACAAGCAAGGGGAGCCGAGCTCCCTCGTGATCCGCATCCACAGTTTGGCAGTCAGATGCCAAAGGCTTCAAGAGACGCGGGCAATCACACCCAAAGCAAAGTGAGTGTAGAGGTCAACGACACATGAACAAGCTGTGAGAGTACTGTGTAAAGTTAACGTGCATATACACATAATGTACAGACATGACAATCATCTACACAGCTGGGTCAGTGGTTTTCAAAAAGTCCTTGACAGTTAGGATGTTTTCTTAGTATGTGTGAGCTCCATTCCCCTTTAATTCTGACTTACGAAGAGTTGCTGAAGGGAGGATTCCTCCTTACTACTGTCCTGTGTAAGATGCGAGTGCAGCCCTGTGTGGCTAGCTGACAAAGTGGAGTGAAAAAGAAGGACAGGAGATGGCAGTCAGAGCAGACTGGTGTGGGAATGGAGTGAAGGCAGGGAGAGCCACCAGATCAGTTGGAGGTGTCGGAGTGGACGCTGCCAGGAGGACCAGGGGGGGAGGTAACAGAGGAAAGGGTGGTGGTGTCCTGCCAGCTGTTAGCCTGCGAACAGAAGAGGATTCAGCTTAGAAGGATGTTTTGGAGGAAAAAGAAAACAGTTTCTGGGGACAAACGTGTACGTGGGCACTATGAAAAGAACCACGGGTACAGGTGGGCATACCACACCTGCTGAACAAGGGTGTTTGTTAAGCATTAAAATTTCCTGTTTCAAAAAAAAAAAAAGATACTTTATTTAAGCTAGAACTTTGTTTCAATCTATGATTACAATGATTACCAAGACTGAATGGGAAACCTCCTAAAATGGCAGATTCCAGCTACGGGAACAACTGGAACACAACAGGGCTGCATGCAGATACTCACATCCAGGCGATGAGGGGTGAAGAGGCCACTACCCGACAACTCCTCATAGCCGCCCGTCAGGTGTGTAGCACGGTGCAGGGTATCCACCTATCAAATACAGAAAAATGTCATCACAAGTTGTGGCGCATCAGGACAATGAATCAGAATTCCATGATACTGTTTTAACCAGACAACAGCAGGCCACAAACAAAATCTGCATCAAGCCAAGCTCAGACTACCAGATTCAGATCAGTGTCTGATCGACGTATTGTTAAAAGAATGCAGCATGTTTCTTTTGGAATTAGGAGATTTGAAGCCATGGTGTGTTCACATGTCATCTGTGACGGACGGCCACACAGTCCAAGAGTTTTTGCCAACGCCAACCCCTGGCCGGTCTGATCTCTGCAAGCCGTTACAGCTGTCGCACAGACAGGTCTCCCCGTCTCACAGCGGCTCATTTCCTTCTGCTCACCTAGTTGAAAAGAACTAGCAGTTTCTTTCCCTCCCTCTCTCTCTCCGATCTGTCATGTTATTATATGCTGGAAACACCAAAAGATACACAAGTGCTCTTGCAGACATTTAAACAAATTCTGTTCAGTTTCCCAGGGAAACTGTGGTTTCTTAACCCTGCTGTCAGTTTTGCTCTGTTCCTCTTCCTGATTTATTCTTGTTGTGTCCCGTGAACCTCTCACGAGTGTCCTCATTGGCTGGAGCTCTTCACTCGTGAAACTTTCTGCATCAACTGCATTTCAGGTGAGTCCACAGACCTCAAATCTTTAATTTCGCCTCAGATATTAACCATTTTGTCTGATGTAAAATCTTAAAATCATGTTAGCTAAACTTGGCTTTACGCATAAGTATAAATTTACTATTCTACCACAGTGTTTCAGGTAACACAGACCAGATCTTTGTACCAAACCCATCAAATCTGAATCAGATCCCCCTCAATGGCAATACCTTTTGAGCTTAAAAGCATTAATCTGTGGATTCCTCCAGCACAGGGCAAATGCATCACTACCAACAGACAGTAACAACCATAACAACAACATTGAAAGTTTTCTTCATGGACTACACAGGGTTGGACATGTTTGGATACGTTTGGGAAAACACGGACAAACAAAGACGGGATGGTGTGACAACGCTGGAGGAGGAGGACGACCTAAAGTCTAAGAAACTGACCATTAATCAGAGAGATCACCAGTTGAATCCTAACCCCTGATGAGTGGGATTATTCTGATGTATGTTGACTATTGCAAGAATTTTGATGAAGCACCCTGATCCCCATCAACAAGTTCTGACACAGAGGCTGGGCTCTGTGCAAGCTGGGAAAGATGTATCCAAGAAAATGTTTGCATGTAACTCCAAAACATTATGTGAGAACACAAATTTAAGTAGTCACACACAAACAAATACTGTCCCACAGAACAGAGGCCATATGCTTTCCAAGGCTCTCAAAGCAAAGAATGGTCAGTTTGTGCTGTGTGGGGCAGGAGAAGTTGATAATGAGGGTACACTTAGGACGGGATCTGAGGAAAGGTCATAAGGAGCTAGACTACACAAGGATATAAGGGGATGCTGAATGACTGGGTAACACCACTGAGGTCAGCTGAATCAACTCTACAGCTGCCCTCATTGCGTACCTGAGGCTGTAGAGAGGGGGCGATGTTGAGACCCTCACCGTTGAGGGAACGCAGGCCAAGGTAGGTGTCACCTGTGTGAGATAAGCTGTATGACCCCGGTGACCCTGCAGGCAGTATGTGTGTGTATAGAAATCAATCCCACCACAGTGAAACGTGGTCAAAAGTTTGCCATTGGTCAGGAAAAGTGCCTGGGAAGAGCAAAGCCTCACGTAATAAACAACTGCGATGCGTGGGTCACCGTTGTCAGCCAGCTGATTCTGAACAATCATTTAAAAGCCAAGGGTCCCGAGAAGGACGTCTGCTGAGCTGCAACGTTTGCCAGCGCTTATTAAAAAGCTTGGTTAACGTAGGTCTGCTTTTCAAAAGGGGGCTGACGTACTGCTTGTCGTGACCCCAGTGGGGAACTGGCAACTGTGATGGAGGATGTGAGGCTTTTTACTCTGTGGCTGTGTAAAGGTTTAGTCCCATAACAAACTGCTGCTCAGAAAGGTTTTGGGAACAGAAAGTTTCACCGACTGTACTGTGATCAGCTTTAAACGCAATATGAATCCATTCCAGTTTAGTGAGACACATGGTGGTGAACAATGCTGGTCCTTCTCACTCACAATTTGTACTGCTCTCCCTTTGGGCCACAATTCAGACACTTCTATTAGTAATTACTGTCCCTCTTGGAACAGCATTATTTCAAGTTGGTGGGAAAATGGGAAGGGGCACATGTCCAATTTCAAGTCCCAGTTAACAGTTTCAGGATTCTAAGAGAAACCTAAAACAACCCTTTTCAATAAACCTAAAAGGAACAACCTGGCAAATAAATAATGACACTTTCAGTGCGCATACTGCACAAGAACCAGCAAATATTTGGTTAACTTACATTTTTAACGTAGAACTGAATAGATGATTGGTTAAAAAAAATAAATGAAAGCATGAAGATGTGAGAAAGATGGAAGGATGTACTGTTAAAGTACTTAGGCTGGAAAACCATCTAAGTAAAATGTATCATGAGATGAAAGCAAATATTTATGGTCAAAGCAGAAAGAGGTTAAAAACCAAATAAGAAATTAATTGAATTGAATGAAATGTACAAATTCTATTAAAAAGTGAAAAAATAAAATAGGAAGGACTTTTAGAAAAAAGAAAATTAAGGAAAAACACCAGGAGCTCCCTGAAGCCACCAGTCCGCTTTACTTTGAATAGAATATTTTCTTTGGCCACACAGTGACTTTCAGCAGGATTCTTGCAGCAAAACCAACACATGAAAGAAGATAGTGTTGAGGGATACCTGAGTTGGGCGTTGCTGGAGAGTTAGCCTGGCTGGCCTGCGCCGACACATTGGCAGCATCCACCGCCGTTTTAACTGCGTACAGGTTCGCTTCCTCCTGGAACTTACCGATGTTCTTCTTGTAGCGTATTCTCTTGTTGCCAAACCAATTAGAGACCTTCAGAATAGATGGGTTAGTTAGTTTCAGTTGGTGTGCCAAATGCACTAAAGAAAAAAACATTTTTATTTCTTCTCTTTTTTTTTTTAGCAAAAAGGTTTACCTGAGACACAGTGATCCCACATTTTTTGGCCAGTTCCTCTTTTGCCTCCTCACTAGGGTAAGGGTTGGACAAGTGGGAGTAGAAATACTCGTTCAACACTTCTGTAGCTTGTTTGTTGAAGTTGCGCCTCTTACGTCTGACAGAGAGAACAGATAATGAACACTTGTCCTGGCAGGTATGTATCTGACAACACATACTTACAGCTCCGATTACTTTAGCCCTAAACGGAAAAAAAAGTACTAAATATTTAAAAATACATAACAGACAGACAAACCTGGCATCGAGGAAGCGTGAGCGCAAAATCATGACGGCCTCACAGGTGCTCTGTTTGAGCTGCATTTGAATGGAGCTGAATTTGCGATGGATTATGGCCACCATGCGCTCAATCTCTTTGGGGGAGATGGGTCGTGTGCGAGACTGCTCTCTCAGAAGGTTCATTACATGGTTGGTGAACTCACTGCAGGCCTGGAGCAGAGAGAGATAAAGAGCTTGAATGCCATTGTCAAAAGATGGGACATGGCGCAGGTTATGTTCCGTGCAGTTTTCTTCAGATGGATTATTCCTCCTCTGATCAGACATTTTTGTCATGATATGGAAAAATAACAGTTATATAAAAAACTAAATCCTTTGCTTTTTGTGCCTGCAACATTTGCCATTACATCTCCACTTTAATCCACTTTAGCACTGTTCACATAGTTAATATTACAGATGTTTTTTTACAGTTCCACATAATGAAAGGAGCTTCATAAAAGGGCCAATTTAAGGAACTTGGGTCATTTCAGCACAAACCTGCTCATATTTCTCCAGCTCAGAATGATATATTTGACGGATCTGGGCAAGCTTGGCTCTGTAGTCAGAGTGTTCGATGCTGCTGTCGGTGGGTGAGCCTCCTGCTGCTGCTGCAGCTGCAGCGGCTGCAGCTGATCCTCCACCTTTCTCTGGTCCTGAAACACCCTCTGCTAGCAGCATGTTGTCCAAACGCATGATCTGGGGATCTGGGGGGTCTTCCTCCTGCACACCACGTATACTCAGCACTGACAGGAGACAGAAATGACACAGTCATCAGACAAGAAAAGCTTACGTCTATCTGATAAGAAAAATATAGGTCTGCTCATTGGCTAATAGTTATCCGACTGATAAAAGGCTTAAAACATTTTTTCAAAAACTGACAAGATACAGCAGATTAGATGAAGAAGCTGCTAAAATTCAAAGAGGTGCAGCTCTGTCAAACCCCAGTCAAGTTTGTCCCCTGAGTCATTGCTATGAACATCTCACTGAATTTCCAATGAGCCTGATATTCCTCTGCATCAACAGCAGAGGGCAGTGTGGGCCCTCTGTGGCAGCCTGCCAGAGATAAGGGCATGAGGCATGGAACCAGTAATGGAAGTGCATGTGCTGTCACTATGAGACCCAGTGGCCATAAGTATAGTTATCAGTCGCTGCTCTCCACCACTGTATTATACCAGGACCTCTGTCAGCCTGCAGCCTTGCTCTCATCTCTCTCTCTCTTTCACACATGCACTCACATACATAGCCACACAAACTCACCCACCCATACCGACACCACTCTGTAACTGCAACGTTTAAACTTCAGACTTTGTTTTTTCCTCCAAGGGCCTGCAGTTTTTAACACTTCAATAGAAGTCTTTTTCTATTTTGGCCTCTCAATTACTTAACTTTGGACAGAGTAGAAAGTTGGCGTTCATTGGTAGTACTTCCACTTAACTTGGACCAGACTTATAAGAAATTAAACATGTCATGCAGTTAACGGGGAAAATGTACTTCGACTACACTTATAGAGAAACTTTCAGTATCCGAATTTGCAGCATTTGGCTGATGGAACATTCGTATTAGTTTTAGGACACATTAAAAGTTGATATTTTTTAAGCAAGAATGAATTTTGTTGTATTTTAAATCTATTTTCCTAATATGCTTCAAATTATCATAGGGCAAATGTATGTGTTGTGACTTAGGAAAATGAACAATCTGATTAACATGTATCCAGCTCACTTTGTGAAAAATTATTTATTGAATTAATTAAGAGAATAATGGAGATTGATATGTAAGTTAACCAGTCACTGCATTCATTATTAACATTCTGATGTTTCTGTTCAATACAAAGATGAAAATATTTGCTGTATAAATATAAATATTGGTTCAGTGACACAAACTAATATCATGCTGTGTTCATATTTGTGTTGATCTTTTCAGCTGGACATTAAATTGGAAAAGCCCACTTTACAGCAGGGGTCTGTTCATGATCCTGAAGGAGACAGATGCTAACAATCTGGAAGACAAGATTAATCTCTGTGGAAACTGGGTGGCGTTAAACACTTGTGCTCATTATGGCTGCTACTTGCTCGTCAAAGCTTGTCACCAGTTTATGGATGCATGAATTGATGACATCAGGTTTTCATTTTTGAGTGTTGAGCGTTTTTCTTATGTTACAAATGTTTACATTGTGCTGTGGCTCTCAGTCTGTAAAGTTGTTTTAAGGTGAGTAAGAATAAAAACATACTTAAAAGTGAAGCAAGAGTTGTACTGTGGACAAGCAGATGTAAAGAAATGGGTCCTCTCCTGGTTAATTTGATAAAGAAATGTTTCCCACTATATACCTGAAAATATATGTGATATACACACACATTCACACACACACATGTATATATATATATATATATATATATATATATATATATACACACACATTTATATATACACACACACATACATAAGTGTGTGCGTGTAATAAAAGTAGTGTCCAACTTTCCCTCGTTCCTCCCCCGTTCTTCTTGTTCCTTCTTGCCTTTTTCCTTGCCTCTGCTTAAGTTTCTTCTCTCTCTGAGGCACATTCCTGCTCTGCTGCTCCCCCATCTCAGGGCTCAGGAATGCAGCAGACCCAGCCGCCTGAACTAATGACCCTGATTTGCCCATCTTTTTCACTCCTCTTTCTCTTTCCTTTAAAAAATAAATTAAAAAAAACTGGCTTTTTAAATGCTAACCCCCAGCCCCCCAAAAAGTAGTATTACTTCTTAACACTTTACACACAGTTGTGTTCATTTTACCATTAAGTGAAAAGACAAAGTGTGGAACCATCTGCTTTGGACGGCTTTACTTTATATGCAGTTATGTTTTATTCTGTGCTGTAGATTTGCTGACACGTACAACTGACCTGCTGTGAAGAGGGCAACTGTGACTCTTGAAGCTTCTCACCTAGGCCCTTCCCCATTCGCTGGGACTCATTATGGCCCCCAGCTGTAGCCTAATGCCCCTACATTCCCCTAATTACTCCAATTAAGCTGTGATTACCCAGAATTGCACTCATGCACAGTCTAGTGGCCCAGTGATACTACAGCAGCAGTAGAGATGAGTTAAAGCACAGCAGTGAAGAGGGATCATATTACATACTTATTAAACAGCCCAATTCACACAGCTAGCCACACAGAAAGTATCCCTAATATTCTCATACACAACATAGGAGCAAAAAACAGTTCTAAGAACTGTCTCACAGCTTTGGTCCTGATCAAAGCAGTGTTTCCATTCAGACAACTGCTGATAGACTCGGTTATCAGGAATGCTGGGACTATTTCGGGCCCGCAGTAAATATCTATAGCTTTTGGAAAATCACTATTATGCATACGTTACCAGCCTATCTGGGCGGTGTGGCATTGAGAAACTAAGCGAGCAACACATACTATGAAATATTCAGGGTATCCAGCTGGGCTCTCGCTGCATACATAATCATTCTCGTTTCTGCACAGGCTATGTAGAAACGTTGTGGTGCACAGACATAACACAAAAAATATGAAGTGGCTCAGGTAGGGGTGAACAACCCATCCAATAGTGTAGCAATGTACATTAACTGTAATACCTTCCACACACAGGCATAGATAAGGCTTAAACGCAGTCAGTATATCATTGCTCAGCTCACAGCACAAGCTTTATCCTTGTCTGTCTGTTCCCTCACTAGCATCCCCTTTTTCACTCTGTCTCCCCCAACACACATCCCCTCCCCCTTCTCCTTTTCAGCGCACCCCTCCCCACATCTCCCCCAGTGCCCCCCTACCCCCACCCCACCCCCTGTTCTCCATTTCAGTCGAGTTCTCCATGTGAGCCGCAATCCCTCATGCTGTCAGCCCCCCCCCCCCCCCCCCCCCCCCCTTTAGACAACCAGGATTAACATTTTAATTGCATCAGCTCCCTTGGGTATTCTCAGCCTTTCACTGGGAGAGAGCAAGGGAGCGGGAGAGGGAGAAGGAAAAAAAAGGGGAAGGGGGGGTGGTAAGAAGAGGGAGTGAGAGAGGGAGAAAGAGAGAGAGAGTAGAAGGAGAACCAAGGAGAATTGAAAAAAGAACTCACAGGAGAAGATATGTGTGCGAGAAAGAAAGGGACAGAGACAGAGAGAGGGGCTTCAGAAATACACAGAATCCAGAACGCAGATGTGCCACAGAGTAAGAGAGAAAGAAAAGAATGTGAAAACATCAGTTTTCCATTTCATTACCAAGAACTCAGACAGCGAAATATTTATTTATTTTCCCCCTCCAACTATGAAAATATGCAGCGTGAATATGCTAATTTACTTTATTTGTACAAATCCTTAAAGAAATCTCCAAGCTTAGGCAGAATGACAGACCTGTGTTTTAGGCCTGAATATGGAAGCCAGAGAAAATATCACATACACAAATATACTGATGGAAAATAAAGACTAAATTACTCCCATGGCCTACCATATATGTTTTTCTAGCTTCAAGGAAAGAATTTTAGGGGGTAAAAAAGCTTTGAACTGTGCATGACCTCAGACAGCTGCTGAAAACAGGATAGGTGCTAAATGAGACACGGTGAGCACACTTTAAATGATTGAAAAGAAAATTGAATAAAAACAAAAATCACATAATCTTAAAAATGTGATTATATTCAAATTTGATTTTAGTCAGAAAAAAATAATAATAAAAGAAGAGAGGCAGCAGATCGTTCCACTGGAGTGAGACAAAACTTGCTTTCAATGTAAAAATCACAACAGGGAGAGAGTTTGAATCAAAAGCAGTTCTATTATCAACCAAATAATGCATTGACAGAATAATGCTAATTTTATGGATATGGCATTTTGATCTACCAGGCCATTTACTTAGATTATGGGTTGGTTAATAATACTTTGGGCAATAAAATTTAGCTTGAGGCATGTTGTAGAGTTAAGAATTCAAATGAAAAGAAATTGCATTAAAAATTAATTTTTTCCCTGATAGGGTTTATGTTAACTGGACTATAAAAGCCACACTCCTGCTAAAAATGAAAGGTTTTCAACAATATATTTTTAAAGGCATTTTTTGCAGAGTACAGTCAACGTAATGAGCCCAATCCATATGTCCATTCCCACTTTAAGCAGCTCACACTAATCAGCATCTGTTTGGGTAGTTTACCAGAGTCCTGTTGCTCACAGTGCCCCCCCCCTCCCCCTTCCTCCTCTCTCTGACACAAACACACAAGCTGAGAGGTAAGCATTCAGAGTAAACACTGTGTGGTCTCACTAAGGTGTGAATTGGAAAATTCACACCTTAGGCAAGCACAACACAACACCTAACACACTTAACACACAACCCCTAACGCATCATAAATCATTCCTTAATTAACTAAAAGAAGGGGCAGGGACACTTAAAGTTAGAATAAATACAAGGTAATTATTGCATGAATCCTTTCAATACAGAAATATACAAGACTACCAAACTTCATAAGTGGCAAGTGAATTTAGATTTTAAGCTATCTGTATAAAGTTCCTTGCTCTAATGTTTGTGTATCATCAAATGTTTGTGAGAATTTAAATCCTATTAAGTCCACCTTCGACTTTAAATCTCACTGAGGTTGTGCATACTTACTCTGATATGAGACATTTATGGTTTCATCAAGCTTTTAAAGCACCAGTATTCCATTCATTCAGACACTGGTCTCTGTTCCATTAATGCATCTCACTTCATGTTCATACGTGACTGTAAAAGTGACAGAACTCCACTACGAGTACACAATATTTGCCATATACAAAATTGGACTATAAATCACTTAAGGCATAT